GGTGAGCCCTAACTGTCCCATCTGTCGGCTGAGAGTGGCTCTTCTCACCTAGATATTAATAAAGGACCTTGTTCCACTTGGTGGTGGGGGGGGGGCGTGCTAAGAAAAGGAGCACATTAAATGGAAGAGTGCTAGTGTGATAAGCCAGTACCAGGAACAAAGTTTGGGTAAGGCAACAGGATAGAGTGCATATTTTCATAGGAGTAGTGAACTCAGCTAATTCTAGCACGGTGTTAAGAAAGCCCAGGTTCCCTGAACCAAACAAAAACAAAAACAAACAAACAAAAAAAACCCCCACAAAACAACAGCAAAAACCTCTGGGCTCTGATGAGCTCCTGGCGTTCAAATACATTTTTACCGAATCCATGGTTACCAGCTGGGCCTTGCACTTCTGGCACCCGGGAACTGCGTGCATTTTTGAAAGCACACTGCCCTCCAGTGGCACAAGACAAACTTGCTCCCAGACCAAACTTGCTCCCCGAGAGCCAAACCTCAACTTGACTCTTCCTCTGGCCCCGGGAAGGTGTGGCGGTGCCACGCCATTGTTGGGTGATCACCAGTTCCGAAACCTCTGAAGGGAGGGAGCGTGCAATAAATGGGAAGGCGATCTAGTTAAGAAACCGCAGCTCCCTCCCTCCTTCGTGCCTGCGAGCCCCCTAGGGCAGAGAGTTTCGCGCGCTCTTTTCTCTTCGGGCTGTAATTCTGGATAAGAGTATGATTGGATGGAAATTAACTTGTGGAGTGATGCTTCCAGGAGAGGGACAGAACCCTTGCTGCACCGTAGCGTGCACTGTAGCGTGCAGGGGAAAGGGGGCAGGCAGCCGGCACCCCGAGAGGGCTGGCAGCTGGCGAGTAAGGACATAGTCTGGGTGCGTGTTCCCTGTCGGTCACCCTGTGGGTTCGCTGGCGGGCTCCCGGGTGAACAACAGCAGCTAACCTTGCGGGCTCACCGCGTGTCAGCCGCTGTGCCAGGGGCCCCTATTCAACCTTCCCCATCACTCCCTCTAAGGAGCGCCGTTATCATCTCACTTTGAGGATTAGTAAACTGAGGCGCAGAGAGGCGACGCGACCTGCCCAGGAGACCGCACAGGGGTCCAGATCTGTCTGGACCAGAGCGGGAGCTTCCAACACTGCGCTCGGTCCGCTGGGTCCCATGGGGCCGGGGCTCGGCGGTGGAAGCCCCGGCAACCTGGGTGCCCAGCGAGGGGGCGAGCGCCGAGGGGCGGCGGGCGTGGGGGCGGCTCACCTTGACGATGAGCGGGTTCTGAAACATGGAATCCCGCACGACTCCCAGCCTCTCGTTCTCCATACCCGGTCGGATGTCGGCCACGGTCAGGGGCCTCCGCGGTGGCGGGCAGATCTGGCTGACCGTGCGGCGCACCGGCTGCTTCTTCCATCGCCGGGGGTCCTGGCGGGAGCTCTGGGTCTCTGGCATCCTGACGTTGCGTGCAGGAGGTCCGCGGGCTAGCTGGCTGGGGCGCGCTTCCCTGCTGGCGGAGGGGGGCGCAGAGCTCGGAGGGGCCCCACCGCCAGTCCCGGGACGCACCACCCGGGGCCCCGGGGTGGGCCCCAGACGCCCGGCCCCCTCCGGAGCGGGGAGCACCCACCTCGCGCCGGCCCCTCCTCCTAAGGAGCTCTAAATCCCTATATAAGCCCCTCTGGTTCCTCAGAGCAACTTCTGGGCACCGCCCTGCGGGTTAGGAACGGACAGAAAATCAAGACCACCCCTTGAGGAAGAATGGAACTGTCTGTCTCCATGGCGACGGGACGCCGACGGCGCCGGAGCCGAGTGGCCCGGTTTTCTTTCTTGAAACTATTGGTGGCCACCAAAGTGAACTTGCTTAGAGTTTTCTTAAATAGATATGAAAAAAAAAAACAAGAACCGCCACTAGGTTGTGTTAAAAGCAACGGGGCTCTAGAAGGCCATCTACACTTGACTTCCTAGGCAAAGATACCTCCCTCCACCCACCCCACTCCACTCACGGCCCCTTACCATTCTCTTCCCCTCTACACCCCCCCACACACACACACTGGGCTAGAGCGCTAAATTTTTCATGATGAAATAGAGATCTGCATTCCAGGCCTGATGTTACTGCTAATCCACTTGGGTGATCTTGAATTAGTCACTCTTTTGGGTCCTCAGTTTTTCCTCCTGTGAAATGGGTGAGGAGGAGAGTCTAGAGTTGAATGAGATCAGTGGTACCCAACTTTGTGCAACAGAATGGAGGGAAATGGAAAAATACAGATCCACTGACTTAGAATATGGAAACGGAATCTGGGAATCTGTATTTTTAAAAAATCTCCTTCCTCCCCTTTGGACTTTTTTTAAATTTTGAAAAAGTTCTAAACTATAGAATAGTTGAAAACAGAGTACAGTGAAAACCCCTATAGATTTCACCTGGGTTCACCATGCACAGACACACATTGCAGAATCATCTTGAAAGTATCTGTTGACAGCATCATATGTGACCCTAAACACTTCAGCATGTATCTATCTGCCAAGAATGGGGACATTCTCACATCACTACAGTGTCATTATCATGTCCATGGATCTCAGTATGACATAATAGTAGCACCTGATGTCCGTATGCCAAGTTGGGAATCTGCATGTTCTAAAAGCTTCCCAAGAGATTGGCACCGTGCTTTTGGAACCACTGGCCTGGATGATCTCTAGTTCCTGCTAGTTCAGCCTTTTGTGGGTTTGTTCACCCCTCATCATCTTCATTCAATGTGCAAATACCCACAAGGCTCTGGGTAACAGGGTTCACCAAGAGCAAGTTGCACCAACAGCAAACTTGCACTTCAAGGCCTTATAGACCAACAGTGGACAACTCCAGTACTGCATTTCCAGAACAAACCAGACAGACTTCCAACTGCTCATCCAAGACTGGAGAAGCTGTTGGGTGGTGATGGTGTGTGATGCGATATGTACTTATGATTTCTCCAGCCTGCTTTACTTCCAGACTTTCACAGAAATACAGGTTGTGCACTTTTTTTCAAAAATTTTATTTATTTATTTGAGAGAGAGAGAGAGAGAGAGAGAAACAGCATGAGAGGGGAGAAGTCAGAGGGAGAAGCAGGCTCCCCACTGAGCCGGGAGCCTGCTGTGGGACTCGATCCCAGGACTCTGGGATCATGACCTGAGCCGAAGGCAATCACTTAACCAACTGAGCCCCCAGGTACTCCAGGTTGTGCACTTTTAATGAAAACTGCTTGGCAGTTCACATACAGGAAGTCAGGTGGTAGGTGTAGGTGATGTGGGAAACAAAGGCAAAAAAAAATTAAATTTCCTTATTACCTACAGCCCACTGACAAGTTCTTGAAACAGGCAGAGTGACATTCCTCTAGGAACTCAGCTGCCTCGATGTTAATATTTTGCCACGGGCAAAGGGCAATCTTAGCCCAACCCCCAGCATCCTGTAAGTCTACTTCAACATATATAAATTCCTTTGGAAACTTCCTTTATCTCTACCCCCCAAGATACGTGTTGGCAGTCATCCCCCAAGCATATGACCCACCCATATACATCTGAAGGGTCTCATGACTCAAGTTTTATTAGACAGTAATAAATGACTTTTCCTAAGAGCAGCTAGCCCCCTCAAGGTCCTGGAAACTTTGCTTCCAAAATTCCCTAGAGACTTACGCTAGCCCTAACCCCTCCCAGCTTGAAAGTATATAATCCGCCACTCCTCATGACCCCAGTGCAGCTCTTTCTGCCTACAGGTCCTGTTCCTGTGCTTTAATAAAAACCACTTTTTTTTTTTTTTGCACCAAAGACATCTCAAGAATTCTTTCTTTTTTTTTTTTTTAAAGATTTTATTTATTTGAGAGAGAGAGAGAGAGAATGAGAGCCAGAGAGCACGAGAGGGAAGAGGGTCAGAGGGAGAAGCAGACCCCCCGCTGAGCAGGGAGCCCGATGTGGGACTCGATCCTGGGACTTCAGGATCATGACCTGAGCCGAAGGCAGTCGCTTAACCAACTGAACCACCCAGGCGCCCTCAAGAATTCTTTCTTGGGGTGGGCTCAGAACCCCAACATCTTTCCTACATCACAGGGAGGGGCAGGATAGTGGAATAGTAGAGAGAGCGCAGGTTTGAATCCTGCCTGGGCCACATAAATCCCCTTGTACAAGTTACATTAAGCCCTAGTTTTCTCATCCAGAGGGTGCAGCTGATAACACCTAATAAAGATAATCCTACAATACCCACACGGGCTTGTTATAGGATTTAGTGGGGGGAAAAAAAAAACTAGTTGCCAATATGTTTATGTTCACAATTCAATGAGTCTAAAAGTTTGAGTGGTTTATATACTGGCCTCGACTTAAAAGGTTTACTTTGAATCACAGGCCAAGTTTCTTCCGGTGCAGTTGCAACGGAACCCAGCAGCCTCTGCCCACCTCTGCCTTCACCGTCTACCACCCTCCCCTGTATTCACTCCGCTCCAGCGGCCCTGGCCGGCTTCCAGTTCCTCGAGCGACCAAGTGCATGTTCTCGGCCCTTGCTTCCAGCCTGGAACAATCTTCCATCTAGATTTCTGCTCGCCGTCTTCGTTTACAACTCAGCTCAAATATTACTCCTCGAAGAGCCTGCCCTTCCATCTACAGTGGCACTCGCTGTCTGCCCTCATTCTCCAACACAGTACTGTTTCCCTTTTTTCCTTTCCTCGCAGGATAACCTGACATGATCTTGGTTGATGTCTTCCTCAGGTCCGGGACCTCACCGGCTGGTTCACTCCTGGACAAGAACAGAGCTCCGCAAAAACGTGACTAAGTGGAGCGCACGCGCGAGCTAGGAGGCCAGGCGGGGACTTCTGTGCCCTCTCTCAGTTTTGGGATCACGCTCTACCCCACCCTCACCCCACTCCCGGAGGACCCCCGGAACGAATCCCATGGGCTACTACGCCTGCGCCCAATCGCGGCGGCGGGCGTGTTGCCTTGGCAGCGTGACGCCGAGGCGGGGCCGGAAGCGACGCACGGTACTTCCGCTTACACCACCGCAGCATTTCCGGATTGGAAGAAAGGTGGCGGCGCTTTGGGCGGTAGGTTGAAAGCCCTTTTCGGCTTTTCGGTTGTTGGGGTTTTTTGATGCGCGCGTGGAGTCCAGCGGTGGGTGGTGGTGCCTTCGCCTCGCAGAGGCCGCCTTTGGCGGAGGTCTCCAGGGTGGGGAGGCAGCAGAGAGCCTTCTAGAAAGAGGAAATTGTATGCTATAAGACCTTGAGCCAAGGAAAGGATTGGGGCATGTTTGAGGAACCCAGAAAAAGGCGTTGTGTGGCTAGAGCCCAAAGTTGGACCGGAGAGGCAAAAGACGAGGCTGGAGGGGAACAAGGCCTGATCGTGCTGGGCACTGTTCTCCGTTAACTATTTTTTTTTACCGTATCATAAGGGCAGCGTGACCGGACAGTAAATTACAGTGAGCCTCCTGTGCATTTAGAGTAATATTAAATTTATAATCATGACTCCAGCCTTGTCATTTGTTATGCAGTCTCATTTTTCTGTGATTTTTTTTTTTTCTCTTCTGAGGGTGATGTTTCAAATGCTTCGCCAAAATAAACCATTGTTGTCAAGTTTCCCCACAGGAATAGAATGGAAGGAGAATCCAGCAGACTGGAAATTCACACTCCAGTTTTTGACAAGAAAAAGAAAAAGTACTCTGTATATAAGGAAGGACATTTGAGTCATCCCCATGAAAGTGTCAGAGACTCCCCCCTGGCAAGCGAGCCATCTCACATAACCAAGAGTAAGAAAAAAAGAAAGGATTGCCAGCATCTTCTTCCTTCCCCTTTGAAAAAATCAGAAATTGGTGGTGAGACGAAAAAGGCCACTTCTGTACCCAAAAAGAATAAAAAGAAAAAACATAGGGCTTCAGAGATGGATGAGGAAACAGGTGTGGTGTATGTCTTGGTGGATAAAGAAAATATCGAGAACACACCAAAGAATTTTAGGAGGGATGTCGATGTCGTGTATGTTGACATGAGCCAGGAACAGAAGCCAGCAAAAGAGCCTGAAGCAGACGAACTGCATTCAGTTCCTAAGTCACATAAAAACGAGTCAGAAGAGCTGCATCATAAAGTTAGGGAGACAAAGAGTAGAAAACATCGGAGGAAAGTGGCCTCCTGGGATGCTGAGCAGGAGAGCCTGCGTGCAAGCCTCGCTCTGCCCAAGTCGGAACCACACAAGCAGGAAACCCTGCTTCCTGCGGGCCCAGGAGGTGGAATCCCACAACTACCAGCATCGGCCAATAAAAAAAAGTCTAAGAAAAAAAAGAGAAAAATTGCACATCATCAGGAACCTGAGGCATTGCCTGGGCCTGAGAGTCTAGAGAGCGTGTACTCCGAAGGATGGCAAGGGGTTGGTGAGGTCGGGCCTGCAGAAGGCAGTAAGGAAGCCGGTCGTGTAAAGAAAAAGTCTAAGAAAAGGAAGCGAAGGTCTTCTCTTGAAAGTCCCGTAGCTCCTGGGGGTGATTTTTCAGTGCCCGCAGAGAGATTTGAGGACACACACCCTGATTCACTGGAAGGTAATGGTGCCCTGATTGAAGAAAGAGCAAAACCCAGGCCACAGGAGGAGAAAACCCAGGCCTGTTTGGAAGAGGTGCAGAGGTAATGTGGCAGTGGCATGTTTTCTGGTGTGTATGTCCTCTGTGTGAATTCTACCTGTGACCTCTTTATCCAGCGCGCCTGTCGTAAATGGCAGAGATCAGAGAGACAGACCGCTAATTGTACAGAACGATGCATACATGTAACCGAGTGACTTGGCAGGAAGGTTCCTTTCTTCATATATAAAATAAGGCAGTTAGATCAGATTTTTACTAAAAATTATTCCAGCCCTGAAATTCTATGAATAAGTTTAAAAGGGCATTTTAAGACCCCCCCAAGTTACCTTTGTTCGTCTATATGCATGTACGTAGAAAGAAAGAAAAATTCTAAATAGTTAGAATTTTTACAGAGCAGGAAAAACCTTGACTTAGGGTTCTCCCTAGTAGAAGTGTAGACGTCATTATTTATATAATTATTGTGTAAGTCAACTGCTGATGTAATAAACACAGCTTTCTTTTTTTTTTTTTTTAATACAGCAGTTTTTAAAACCACTTTATCTCGGTTCCTAGGACTTTACATTTGTTAGGTTGTCCTGGCCTAAAATAGTTTCACCAAGAAGTTCAGTGGGAGAGGATGCCACTCTAGGTGGTATCGATAAGAGGGGCCCACTCACCTCCTCTCATCAGGGGTAATACTGATATGAGGCAGGCATGTCGAGGGCTGTGGTTTTGAACTTGTACTGGGCTGTGGGCCCTCTGAAAGCTGCTGACCCTTTCCTCGAACTAATGGATATAATTTTTTTTTTTTAATTTCCTGCCTGAGTGGTTAGCTGTTAGGATTCACCACAGTAAGAGGGGATTTGGACATCTGGCAGAGAGTTTGGGGATGAATTAGTGACAGATGCATAGAAAACTAAGCAAAGTGGGGGGGAAATGTGGCCATTGTTACATTGATTTAATTAATTAGTAACCATTATCACAAAATTGAAATCCTTGGAGGGGTGGGAGGGGAGTGTCTTGAGGGTCCATGGGGCAGAACAGGGCTTAGCCCATTAGGAAGTCAGTATCTAAAACCAGAAAACTTGAGGAGTAGTGACACAAGAAATAACACGTGCTGGAAATTGGGCTTTGGGCCACACGGGTCCCTTGTAGGCCGCCTCTGAGGTGTACGCATACGTTAGTCAAATTACCTCAGTCCACACATCGCAGACTGAATCAGCTCCAACGTCCCTCCTAGCTTTAACGCCGGCCTAGTCTAAGTGAGGATCATTTTAAGAAAAGAACTGGAAAGCCACCCGGGCAAGTGACAGGTTAATGTGAGTTAACTCAATTTTCCCTGCAGGTTAGAACCTACAAACGAAGAGGAAAGACATTTGGAATTGGCCAGCGATTCTGAAACAAGATATTTATCGGAAGACTCCAGAGATTCGGGTGACTCAGATGTGGATTTAGACTCGGCTGTGAGGCAGCTCCAAGAGTTCATTCCGGACATCAAGGAAAGGGCTGCCACCACAATCAAGCGGATGTACCGGGATGACTTGGGGCGGTTTAAGGAATTTAAAGCACAGGGTGAGCTGGTGGCACTTTAATATTTGTCGAACTTTCCTGTCCGCCTAACGAGCCCCTGCCTTTGTTCTGTGAGCAGTGCAGATTTCTAGATTCACAGGAAGCATCCTCTAGGTGCCTTCAGCTTCTCCTCCTTCCAGAATTGTTGTCCGAGCCATAAAATTAGCAAAATGAAGAGCCCTGGTTTTGCTCTTCTCCACCTAGCTTCTGGTAGGGGAGGCGTGGAAGGAGAGGAGGCGGCGGCTAAGTGGCTGAGCCCTTGGGGAGGATGCAGGAATAAAATAAAATGAAAACAGCCAGTATTGTCAACTCTGATGAGCTGTAGCTTCTTCCCCCAAGATAGTAAGTGGAGGCTAAGCTGGCTGTAACGGCCTTGGTTTCACAGGAGACCCAACACGGTCTCCTTCTTGATTTCACTGTGTTACAAGAACCTCCCAGAAAGCTTATGGAATTGAAGAGGAAACTACACATTTAAGGCTGTGTGCTACAAACGAGCGATATTTACTGAGTGGCCATGTGAGGTCCAGTACCTCTGGTCCCTGCAAAAAGTAAAATGCGGGGCCTTAGGGAGTTAATCGTGGTGAGGAGATTAGTTTTATCTTTTTTATTTTTTATTTTTTTAAAGATTTTATTTATCTATTTGGCAGAGAAAGAGAGAATTCACAAGCAGGGGGAGAGGCAGAGGAAGAGGGAGAAGCAGGCTTGCCGAGGAGCAGGGAGCCCGACGCGGGGCTCGATCCTAGGACCCTGGGATCACGACCTGAGCCGAAGGCAGCCGCTTAACCAACTGAGCCACCCAGGCGCCCCAAGAGATTAGTTTTAAAAAATAGCCAAATTAAGAAAAATATAATTCATAGAGCAGTATCTATAGAATGGTCCCATTCTATTTGTGTATTTTCTGTGGGAATGTTTATGACTATATTTTATAAAAGATACTCTTAAAGTCTAACAATAGAAAAACATAGTATGTAAGATCGTCAGTACGTAATAAAACTTGGTTGCTTTGAGTTACAAAGAGGACTAGAATGTAAAGCATGATGCCATTGCTCCCCCACCCCCCATACGTATGCATAGAAAATATATGTGAATGTTCGAGTTCTTGCCAATTCACAGCATTGCCTTGGGGGAGGGGGCGTGAGGCAGAAGAGAGCAAAGGGGAGGCTTCTTTTAAAGGTTTATTTCCATACTGCTTGAATTTTTAATGAACATATATTCCTTTTTAATATAAAAAACAACTACTTTCAAAAGTTGAGCGATAAATGGGGAGGGTCACTTTGGAAGGGGGTGACCAGGGAAGACTTTGGGAGAAGAGTGGCTTGAGCTGAATTCTAAGGGAAGTGAAGTTGGGGGGATGGGGCATGCACAGCAGGGAAGCTAACGGGCAAGTACAAGTACCGCTGGGGCTGTTCCCAGCAGGGGGAAGCTGGCAGCCACTGTCTTGTAACTGTTGAAGACCAGATGGTGGTTTGCTTTTCTTCCTTATTGACAATACATGTTTTTTCTCCCCGCCCAAATCCTAGGTGTCGCTATTAGATTTGGCAAGTTTTCTGTAAAGGAAAACAAGCAGTTAGAGAAAAACGTGCAAGAATTTCTATCCCTGACAGGAATTGAGAGTGCAGACAAACTGCTGTACACAGACAGATACCCAGAGGAGAAATCTGTGATCACCGACTTAAAAAGAAAATATGCATTTAGATTGCACATTGGTAAGTTTAAAACTGTTTGCTCTTTGATCATCCACAGCCTTCCAACCCTAAAGGGAGAACCCATGGTAAGTATTTAGCGCAGCGCCTGGCCCATTCAGTGCGTGCGATGCATGTTACCAGCTGCCATGGCTACTAGCATTCTTGCTGCCGGCCTATACTTTTGGGGATTTGGAATGTGTTTGTGTCTCCCCAAGTATAGTGCTGTTACAGATTTTATAAAAAGTGACCTGATCAACTTCTAGTTTTCCTACTTGGTAGTAGGTATCATTTTGCTTTCTCTTTATTTATTCTTGGTTATGTGTTATTTTGCATATGCTGCACAAAGCACTTTTTTTTTTTTTAAGATTTTCTTGATTTATTAGAGAGAGAGCACAGGGGGAGGGCCAGAGGGAGAGAGAACCTCAAGCAGGCTCCATGCCCAGCACAGAGCCTGACACCAGGCTCGATCTCACGACCCTGAGACATGACCTGAGCTGAAATCAAGAGTCGGACGCTTGACCAGCTGCACCACCCAGGTGCCCCAAAGCACATTCTTACGTGCACCAGGGTCTTCTAAGTTTTCCAGGTACAGCCTTCTCTGTGCTTCATCTCTGGAACTCTCCTCCTGCAGCTGTACTTGGAAAGTGAGAAAGGCATGAAGCAACACAGGATCGGACTGAAAAAAATCCGTGAATTTAAAGAGGATGATTTCTTAGGTGTTCTCTGGAGTGTGCAAGGGGAAACAGGCTAGGGGGTCGCTGTTGAGGGACTGTTTCATCCTCAGAGTGTGGAAGCAAGCCAAGCTTGCTCATTGAGAAAGCTCTTCTGTTAATCTTATGGAGAACCGTTGGCATGTGTCCCCCACCTTAGCATGCTTTCCTCTTCATTCAAATTTTGTTAGCATTACTTTGCTTTGTAAGGGCTTTTCCCTCGAATTTAGTAGACCAGAAGCTGGAGCCTTGACTTACTAAGCGTGTAGTTTTTAGAGCTCTCCAAGGAAACTGGTGATTTTGTACAGGATGTATGAAATCCCAGCCTGACACAGGATCTAGGGTAGTGGTGTTAACAGGAGCCATGCTGGGTTCCCTTTCCAATTGTGACTCCATTTCAAGCCATGCCCTGTGGGCCCCTCTGACTGCCTGTCTTCTGACTTTAGGAAAGGGCATTGCCCGGCCCTGGAAACTCGTCTACTATCGAGCAAAGAAGATGTTTGATGTCAACAATTATAAAGGCAGGTAAGAAAAAGTCTTAGCAGCTTGAGACAGAATGTTTTTGTGATAGTATAAATTAGAATGTCCACAACAGATGAGAGGTAAACTGAAGATTTTTTTGTGTGTGAAAAGTGGACTGTGTATTTCTTGTCAGTGGTACGTCTTCAAAGCTCATTTCGGTTTCTGCCTCTTGAGTAAACGTTTGTGATCTTCCCCTTTCTAAATCCTTGGCCTTTCTTTATACTTTCCTTAGCCCTCAGTGTGCCGTGCCTCTCTTATGTTACTCATGAAGTTTTCTTTGCTCTCTGCTAATTTGTGAGCTCCCTGTGTACCCAGACGTTCCTTTTGTTTTGTTTTGTTTTTTAAGATTTTATTTATTTGAGAGAGAGAGAGAGAGAGTGAGAGAGCACAAGCGGGGAGGGAAGGTAGAAGCAGACTCCCAGCTGAGCAGGGGGCCTGCCACGGGGCTCGATCCCAGGACCCGGGGATCACGACCTGGGCTGAAGGCAGACGCTTAACTGACTGAGCCACTGGGCGCCCCTCAAACGTTCCTTTTCAATGCGACGTTCCCTTCAGCCCTCAGCCCAATTCTTTGGGTTTTCAGTGAATATTTGAAGGTAGGGTAAGCACTAACAGGAGGTCACGTAGGAGCGGGTCATTAGTGACAATGCAGAGTGTCCTGTGGTGATGGTCATTCTCCCTCTTTCCCCAAGCAAAATACCCAACTATATTTTGTTCCCAACATTCCAGATAAAACCAGCATAGATCAGGGGTCGGCTCTGGGTAAGCACTCTGCTCCAGGCCAGAGGGATAGGCAGGAAGGTGTAAGCCCCTCCCTCTCAGGGCCCAGCCCACCAGCTCTTCGATCTCACTCTGGGAGGCAGATTTAGTAAATCTGACAGGGCCAGTTGCCTTCCAGTTAACTGCATGATTTTAAACCAACATATATGTATTCTCTGACCTGCAGACACTGATATGACCTTGGTGAGGTTCTTTTTGTTTTGTGTTTTGTTTTAAGATTTTATTTATTTATTTGACAGAGAGAGACAGAGAGAGACACAGCGAGAGAGGGAACACAAGCAGGAGGAGTGGGAGAGGGAGAAGCAGGCTTCTCGCCGAGCAGGGAGCCCAACGCAGGGCTCGATCCCAGGCTCCTGGGGTCATGACCTGAGCTGAAGGCAGATGCTTAATGACTGAGCCACCCAGGCGCCCCTGACCTTGGTTTCTTAACTTTTGACCAAGAGAAATAAACCTTCAGCAGAGGAAAAGGTTGCCCACAAACTAATACCCGCCTTCCCCTTTTTCCTAAGCCCCGGGGTTGGGCATCTGTGGACAGAGCTTTAAGGAAATGCACTAAAGATGACATGTTAAGTGGGACTTGAAAGATAGCTTTTGGCAAATGAATGGTGACAGCTGAGGTGACATTTTTCTACCTGTGACAAAAGTGTGGGAATGAAAGTTTTAGAATAAGCCAAGTCTGTCATTCCAATAAAAAAGTTCATTCGTTTGTTTACACCACATGATTTGTGTTGTGGTAACCATTTGCCTTTAGAATATATTTTTTCTTTTTTTTTTTTAAAGATTTTATTCATTTATTTGACAGAGAGAGACAGCGAGAGCAGGAACACAAGCAGGGGGAGTGGGAGAGGGAGAAGCAGGCTCCCCGCTGAGCAGGGAGCCCAATGTGGGCCTCGATCCCAGGACCCTGGGATCATGACCTGAGCCGAAGGCAGACGCTTAACGACTGAGCCACCCAGGCGCCCTAGAATATATTTTTTCTATCTTAAGGAATTCTTAACTGAAAAAAACCACAGAAAGCCAAAAATCAAAGAATTTTGAGGCTCTGGGGGATGTCAGAGGTCAATACACCTGTTTCCTCATTGTTATGCGCTCACTTTTTCTCTGATGTCCTCCTTTCTGTCGCCTCAGGGGTACCCTTAAGTTGTTTTAAATCTCAGAAGGAGGGACGCCTGGGTGGCTCAGTCAGTTAAGCGTCTGCCTTCGTCTCAGGTCTTGACCCTGGTGTCCTGGGATCGAGCCCCGCATTGGGCTCCTTGCTCAGCAGGGAGCCTGCTTCTCCCTCTCCCTCTGCCTGCCACTCCCCCTGCTTGTGCTCGTGCATTCTCTCTCTCTCTCTCTCTCTCTCTAGACAAATAAATAAAATATTAAAAATAAATAATCTCAGAAAGACCCTGATTGCCTTGAGAAGGAAACTGCTAGAAAGCATGATTCTTAGCAGTGAAGGATTACAGGTCTCTACTCACCACGCTCTGCATTTGTAGATGACCTTCTGAGAGTGCTAGGCTGTTACTGTTGGAAGTAATTCTGGATCACTGTCATCAGGAGTGGGTAGTGTTTTGCTAGGGCTTCTCTTGTGTTGAGTTAGTAGTAACATAAACCACCATTCCCCGCCCCCTGTATTAAGGAATTCTAGAATGCCCTAAGGATTGCTTTCCCTTCACTTAAACACTTGTGTTTAATCTCCAAATCCACTTAGTGTTTTTTTGGTTCTTTTCTTTAGTATATTTGTTTTTATGTGGAATGAATGCACCGTATATTCTTTAAATAATTGTGCATTTGTGTGAAGTCATTTGTCACGTATTTATTGAATGTTACCTATCAAGCATTGCGGATACCATGGTGTAGAAAAACCAACAGGATCCGAGCCCTTGTAGGATGTCTCCTCCAGAGCCGTGCTGTCCATCATGGTGGCCACCCGCCTCACGGGGCCAGGGAGCACTTGAAATACATTTAGTCCAAGTAGAGAGGCACCATAAGAGTGATGCACATGCTGGAGTTAGAAGGAAAGAACGTAAATTACCTCATTAACACTTGCGGATCCTGACTGCGTGTTGAAATGGTTGCGTTTTTAATATAGTGGGTTAAGTCAAATATTTTATTAAGTTCATTCAAATGAAATAAAATTCATTTTCACGTGATCACTACAAGGTTTAGATGACGTGTACGGCTCATATTACATTTCTGTTGGATGGCGCCGGTCTAGAGGCAGAGACGGGTAAACAAGGGGACCCCTCGATGTCCAACTGCCCGTCTGTGGGGGTGTGTCGTGAAAGGGGCACAGTTTTCTCTGGGGGAGAGCAGCGGGGGACTGGACCCTCAGGTAACAGCCTCGCTGACGATGGGCCACCTGCAGGGTTTGCAGGAGCCGTCCAGGTAGGTGGAAGAAGGCCATTTCCACTGCAGCACAGAGGCTCTGAGGGCAAAAAGGCCTACAAGAGGGCCAGTGGGGCTGAACTCTAGGGCACATGGAGGAGTTGGTGTTTTGTGCGTGCAGTGCAAAGCCTTTAGGGTTTGGATAGGAGTAACGTGACCTAGTTACTTGCTCTAGCCCCTGTGTAACCGAGCCAGGCCCCTGGCCTGGGACTCCAGTGACTGATTTATAGGGTGACCACAGTCGAGATGCCGGGACAGGAAGTGACGGGACCAGCCTGCCCCGGCAGCTTTTCCCAGGACTACAGCAAACTGCAGTGATAATAGGGTTTTTAATCTTGTACTTAATTGGGAATCGTAACATGTTTTCCCTTTCAGGTATAGCAAAGGAGACATGGAGAAGTTAAAGATCTACCATTCCCTGCATGGGAACGACTGGAAAAAGATTGGCGAGATGGTGGCTCGAAGCAGCCTCTCCGTTGCCTTGAAGTTCTCCCAGATCAGCAGTCGTAAGTGTTGGTCTCTGGTGCCCCCCCGGGTGAACGGATGAGCCCCCCGCCCCCTGGTGCAGGCCTCCTTGCCAGCCTGTCTTCTGAGCGAGCTGTCACGTTTTCAGCCATTCTCTGTACTGATTCATTGCATTTCCTCCCGCGTGTTTGTGGAACCACGGGGCCTTTATTCACAAGACCGATTTCGGCCGCACCTGAGGTCCCTCACTTTCAGTGCAGCTCTCACCGCCAGCCTGACCCATACGTACCCTAGGAAGCTGGCGGGGAGCAGAGCCTGGGCGGAGGAGGTTCCCCCACCAGAGGACAGCAGAGGTTGCAGGGGGCCGGGGTGCAGTTCAGTTGGCCCGTTAGGCAGGGACTTTTCCAAAACCTCCTGTGTCTTTTTCTCCTTTTTCCTAAAAAGGAAAATTTTCCTGGGTATATTCCTTGCATTATAAAATCCCCAGTTGCTTCAAGAAGCTTACAGGCGACGTTACTGTCAGCACGGGGATGCCGTGCTAGGTCACGTGGCAGAGCAGCGCGTGGGGCAGAGCGGCTGGGCATCCATGGCCCTGGCGTGCCCGGGAGCCCTGCCTTCTGTGCCCCCACGTCCAGCCACTGGCGCCATGGGGGGACTCAGTGTGGCTGGTTCTTCTGGTTTCCAGGAAGTAAAGCAGAAGTCCGCTTTTGGCGGCGGGGTGGGGGTGGTGTTAATCTAGGTATTGGTTTTTTTCCTTTGGAACTCTCGATTTTTAAATATTCATCTAAATTGTTGAGGAAAAGTAACATCATCACGCTGTGGGCCAAACCGAAGACATTTGTAGGCTCCCGGTTTGAGGCCTCTTACTTAGCCTGACCATGACCATCTAGACGAGGATGACCCACAGATGGTTTGATGCCCCCCTCAGAGGCCAGCTTGAGGTTCAGGTGTCTTTGTCATCGAGGCCAGAGGTCCCATTGCAGCTCAGTGCCACATGGGGAGTTCCTGGGGAGAGTTACGGATGCACGTGAAGTCACTCGGTTATTTTGTCCCCATCAAGTGTTTGAGAACCTCCCAGTTTCACACAAGAGACATTACTGTCAGAAACAAGAAGAACAACGTACTTTTGGAGTTAAAAAACATACATTGCTTTAAGGAAGGACTTCTCTGGTATTAGTTTTTGGTTGGTTTTTTTTTTTTGAGATTTATTTATTTGAGAGAGAGTATGGGGGGAGCCCAAGGGGGGTGGGGCAGGGAGAGAGAATATCCAAGTAGACTCCCGCTGAGCGTAGAGCCCGATGTAGGGCTCTATCTCACAAGCCACGAGATCAGGACCTGAGCCAAATCCAAAAGCAGACTCTTAACCAACTGAGCTACGCAGGCGCCCTGTCATTGATTCTTAAAAAGAAGTGGTTCCATTTTAATTTGCATGTAGCTGTGTTTGATGGTTGTATGTCTGTGTAATCAAGATGTTGCCCTCTGTCTTCTGAAAAGTGCCTGGTTCATCTTTTTTTTTTTTTTTTTTAAGGCTTTATTTATTTATTTATTTGACACACAGAGACATAGAGAACACTAGCAGCGGGGAGCGGCAGGCAGAGGGAGAGGGAGAAGCAGGCTGCCCGCCGAGCAGGGAGCCCGATACGGGTCTCAATCCCAGGACCCTGGCATCATGACCTGAGCCAAAGGCAGATGCCCAACCAGTTGAGCCACCCAGGCATCCCAAGGCTTTATTTATTTATTTATTTTTTGAGAGAGAGAGTGCGTGGGCAAATGGGGGTGGGGAGGAGCAGAGGGAGAGGGAGGGAGAGACTCTCAAGCAGACTCCACACTCAGTGCAGAGCCCAACGCAGGACTGGATCTTATGACCCTGAGATCATGACCTGAGCCAAAATCATGAGTTGGACGCTTAACTGACTGAGCCACCCAGATGTCCCTTAAGACTTTATTTTTTAGAGCAGCTTGAGGTTCACAATAAAATTGAAAGGGAAGTACAAAGGTTTCCCATATGCACCCTGCCCCGACATATAGCCTCTGCCATTGTCAGCATCCTGCCCCCCCACCCCCACCCCAGAGTGGGACCTTTGTTACAGTCCGTGATCCTACCCTGGCACATCCGTCATCTTCCAGGGTCCATAGTTCACATTAGGGCTCACCTTTGGTGGTGTATGTGCTGTGGGTTTGGACAAGTGTGTAATGACATGTATCCATCATTGTCATTTTGTTTTTGATATTGTGCTTGAAAGCAAATAGATTAGCAACTATAAGATCATCCTTTTGTGTCTACAGCAAGAAATCATGGTGCTTGGAGTAAGACGGAAACCCAGAAACTAATCAAGGCCGTTGAAGAAGTGATTCTAAAGAAAATGTCTCCCCATGAGTTAAAAGAGGTGGATTCTAAACTCCAAGAAAACCCTGAAGGCTGCCTGTCTATTGTGAGGGAAAAACTCTACAAGGGCATATCTTGGGTAGAAGTAGAAGCCAAAGTAGAAACCAGAAATTGGATGCAGTGTAAAAGTAAGTGGTAAGTTTTAAGGTTTCTTACATAAATTTCAACAAGATATTTCCCTCCCCCCTCCCCGTACCACACACGTCACTGGAGTGGGTAGATGAGTGGGGTTAGGAAGGAGACCTGTGTAAGTACCGTGTGCAAAGCCTTCTGTGTCAAAAATGATCATCTTGGGCCAGCTGTTCCAGCCACTTCGGTATCAACATCCGATCTAAGTTAGCACCTACCTAACCCTGAGTCATTGTGTGGTTTCCTCCAAAGGAACTGGAACCTTTTTAATACTGAATATTGACTTCTGGTTTCTTCACTCTGTCCGTTTCTAAGGCTTTAGTAAAACAAAACAGTTCTCTCTTTGCAACATAAAAAAAACACAAAATTCCCCTTTGGGAGAGAGATCACAAGCACGGTGATGTGCAGGAGCTTGCCCTTCCCAGGAGCCTGTCTTGTCTGGGGGCTCCTCTCTTCTCACTAACGCCAGGCAGCTGTATTCACCATAGAACATTTTTTTTTAAGATTTTATTTATTTGACAGAGAGAGACACAGCGAGAGAGGAAACACAAGCAGGGGGAGTGGGAGAGGGAGAAGCAGGCTTCCCG